CCACCCAGGCGCCCTATTTTTTTTTTTTTTTTTTTAAGAGAAATACTTCTCAACTTTCTTGTTTTCCCAATAGCTTTGTATCTGCTGCTCAGGTTTTCTACTAAATGCAGACAGACTCTTCTTTCTACAGCTCCTCCAAGACAGTGTTTATAGCAGCAAAAATATGTGAGTTTTTAATTTTTTAAGGTGTGAGAGTTGTTTATTCTTAGAACAAAATCTATCAAAAATGCAGGTAGTATTGTAAAGTAGTGAAGGGAATGCTGACTCTGGAATGAGACTGAATGGGTTTGGATCCTGACTGCCACTTACTAGCTATGTGGCCTTGGACAAGGCATTTAACTATTTTATTCCTCAGTTTCCTCTTAAAATGGGTATAACAATGGTACTACATCATTGGTTGTTAGGAGAATCTATGTGTGTGTGTGTGTGTGTGTGTATGTGTAGTGTTAGCTGTTAACTGAAAACTTCCTATTATTAAAGTATGCTGGACCCAATCAATACATTATTAAGTCCTAATATGTTTTTAGGATTCTGCCAATTATCTTGGGGAATACAAATTGTATGACACGATTCTTGTCCTCCTCTAGAGACTTAGTTGAGAGTGATGTAAGGTATATTTGGATGGTACAAACTGCCCGAGGAACCTGCTATAGGGCACTTACATGGATTGACTGACTGGGGACATAGAACATAAACAGAACAGGGAACTGACAAATGCAAATTTGTCTTGACCAAGGTAAATGAATGTTATGCAAATCATTGCAATAGGAAGGCAACAGTGGGCTGATATGTTCCTGAAAGGCTTCTGGAGGTAATAAGATACTAGCTGAGCCTTGAAGGTAGATTCTGGAAATGTAGAGATGGGGAAGGGTGTTGTGAGGGGGGAAGGAGTAGGGAAAAGAATGAGAATATAATATGCACATCATAATGTCATAGGAAAGGTACAGTCAGACAGGCCAGAGTTAAAGCTCTGGTGCTGCCTCTTACTGGTTTTGTGACCTTAGGTAAGTTACTTAATTTCCCAGAGCCTCAGTTTTCTCTACTGTAAAATGGGGACAATGTTATTTACTTTTTTTAGGTTATTGTGGATCTTAAACTAACCCATGTAAAGCAGATAGCATAGTTCTTGGCACATTATTAATATTCAGTAAGTTACATCACTGGAATAGAGTGTAAAAATTGAAAGCATGGGATTTGAAGTCAGACAGGGTAGGTTCAAGTCTTTTCTAGTATTTACTAGCATTATAAACAAGTTACTCTAAGCTTCATTTAGCTTATCTGAAAACAGGGATGAATCAGTAGATATTGTGGAGTTGGGATTTAATGAGATCCTGTGGAGCATCAATAATGAACATGGCACATAGTATGTACTCAGTACACATAGCCATTGTTTCTTTTATTCATACAACATCTCTCTCCTTCCTCCTAGATATTTCTTTTGTGATTATTCATATTCTTTCTTCTTTTCCTCACCCTCTCTCTTCATTTACCTTCTTTCAACAGCATTTATCAGTAGCAGTTGGAGAGACTGAAAACAGAGACATGAAAGAATGTGGAGGTAGAAAGGAGCTGGTCAGCACCAGTCAGCACCACATGTCCAGCAGAGCACCAAGGACAAGATAAGAAAAGGGCAGTTAAGCACACGTAAATACGAATGACAGGAGCATAAACATATGTACAACCTTCTGGACGACTCATCCTTCTTAAGGCCACTAAAGATTTTTTCTTAGGGAAATTCAGATCATGTTACTCCCTTGGTTAAATTCCTTCAATAACTTGCTATTTCCCCGAGGATAAAAATCCAAACTACTTTGAATTGCATTTGAAATCCTTTCCAATCCGTTGTCAGCCTGTCTTACTGGACATTTTTCCTATTCCTTTCCACCATGCATCCCATATTCCAACCATTTTGAAGTCCTTCTTTGAATGTGACCATATTCTGTTATATCTTCTTGCCTTTGCACATCCTGGAATGACCACTAGACATTTCCACCAGATGAACTTTTACTAATTCTTCAGGACCCAGGTAAATGGGACTTCTTCTGTGATGCCCCTGATCGCTCCAAAATGAATTATTTACTCCTTCCTTTGGGCTTCCATAATACTTTTTATAGCTCTTTAGCACCTGGTCACTAATCATATCACTTTGCAATGACTTCTATTCCATGCATATTTCTCACTATTAATTAACTATTAGATGGTACTTTCTTATTTATATGCCTCTGCATATTTGGCAGTCAGGATAGTACTTGACACAGAGCAGGTAGTCAGAAAATATTTGTAGGCTAAATGAAAGAGGTAGAAGGCACATGACTGACAATATCTCTGTTTCACTAATCAATTTGTAGATTTCTTCTATTAGAATTGCCCTTAGAGTCATAGATCATAGAATTTTCAGTGTTGAAAATATACCTCATTTTATAGATAAGGATTTAAGGCCAGAGTGAGGGGACTTTCTTCTTTTGTCCTTCAGGTCAAACCATGATTTTTTTCCCCCTTC